ACGAAAATTGGTGGATAGGAAGACAATGTACAGAATAGTAAATGATTAAAATTTCAGAACAATTGAATAATTTATTGCAGAGTTACAGTAACAAGTTCAATAAGGTGCTGACCCGCCTCTAGCCTGGATACAAGCTGCCACATGGAGTGGCATAGACCGATAAAGCTCTCTTGCGGTATTTCCTGCCAAATTCGATTCAATTGTCGAACGAGGTCATCAACGTGCCAGATGCAATCGCCTTCCCATCATATGCCAGACATGCTCGATGGGAGAGAGATTTGGTGATCTGGCAGGCCAGGGAAGAGTTTGACAAGCTTGCAGCCAGTTCATAGCAACACGTGCCGTATGTGTTCTGGCATTGTCTGCTGAAAAACCAGCCCAGGGCGCTGCAAAAGGAACGGTAGCAAAACAGGTCTTAGGATGTCGTCGACGTACCGCTGTGCAGTAAGTGTACCGCTAATGACAACCGAAGGGATCTGGCTGTCAAAAGCCGGTGTGGCGTGCAATAGTGAAGGCAGGATCCCCCCTCTGCCCTGTACGTTTCCGAACACGTCTTCGATGATCGTCAGGACACAGTTGGAAGAGGGATTCGTCGCTAAAGACTATACGTCCCCAGTCGGCATCATTCCAGACATATCTGCTCAAAACATTCATGCATACGAAATTTCAAAGCAATCGGATGATTGTTTCTTGGTGCGTCGATTTTTTTGTTATAGAGTGTATTATATCCTCTTAAATAGTTTATAATTATGCCAATTCTGCTAGAAATTGTAGATATATCTATATGGTTATGATTAAATGAACATTCAAATTTAGATTTCGAATAGACTTGCAAAATTTTTTCAAGTAGATGTATTTAAATACGTTTTCTTTTTACAGTTTCCTTTAGTTGATTTAACCGGAAATACAACAGCAACTGTTAGTCCGGCAGATGTTTTTAATAACTGGAGACAACGAAAACGAGATGCTATCACTAATTATTTGAAAAGGCTTGGAATTTACCAATAACTATGATCCTTATTTCATGCATTTGGTGCACAGAAAAAGAAATTAATGGGGTTTTATTTCAACAAAATTGTATTTGTCGATGATTGATTATAATAATGATAACAGTGATAAATGTTAAACAAATGCTCCTTTATAAAATATTTAAACTGTTCTATGCATTGTTTAAGAGGTATGTTAAATATAAAAATACTTCATTTGAACTCATAATGCTTTAATAATTATCAGATATTTATATCCTTATAAATGTTGTATAAGAAGATTTAAAAAATAAAGAAGGTTTATAATTTTTTTTCAATTATTAGTAGATTGTGATTTTATATGTATGTTTTATGTATATTTCCTGTACGTTTCATCTGATTTGTAGGAAATTTAATAAAAAGGTTTTTCACTCCATTGTTGATGATTAATTATGATTCTAAGCGCATTAATGAATGTTCATTTGCAACTATTTTAACTATTCATTGCATTTCTGATGGTAAAGAAAATATGGCTGCTAAAGTTAAAAAAAAAAAAAAACTAGTTTTATTTATACATCTAAAATGGTTGGAATTGAAAAAGATTATCGGTGTGATATAAATAATTAAAAATAGACAATGTCCAATTTTTTTTCGAACAAATATCCAAATTTATTTTATTTCTGGGCCAGGCACCAGCACAAAGTGTCCAATAAGCAAGATTGCTAAATAATAAGCGCGCAGCGCTTGTCCTTCAATTTCAAGATATTCCTTGTTATAAGTGGATTATTGGAGATTAGGAAAGGTATAAAATATGTCGTTATCCCATCGGTAATGTTTTTTAATAAAGTTGCCATAGTCCGGTATAATTTATGCTGATATTTTTCAAATGTAAAAGTCATTGCCCCGTATTTTCTACGCTGGCATATTTTCTAATCTAAATTGTGTAAAATTTGTAGCCGCCTCCAAGCAAAAAAAAATAAATAATTAATATCCCAACTACTGGAGAAAAATGAATACATATATGATCGGAACTAATTATTAATATCTATCATGCCTGGCGTTTTTTAGGCAAAGCATGAGAGAATTATTTTATTTATCATAATTATTTTATATTTTAGTGTTGTATACAATGGAAAATGAACTTTTTTGACACAATATTCTAGTATAGTTAGGCTCCTGTTAAGAAGAAAAAAGTGTGCATTGAGTTTTGCTTCGCATTCTTTCTTTCTCTCTTTTATATTTCCTTTTCTTTAAAAAAAATATTTCTGAGCTGATAAACGAAGAATATTTTTACATTCAATAAATCCATTTTTATGGACAAAAAAAATTTCCAACTCATTCTTTGAATCACAAATTTTAATTTACTTATTTGATAATAACAATGGGGAATAAAATTTTCGTTACATTTATACAAATACTTAATTTTACCTTATTCGGGTGTGGTGACTTAAAATCTAAAACTAGTTTTGATCCCAAAGCAGCATTTTTTTTTTTTTTTTTTTTAAATGACATTAGGCTATTTTTGACGAATGAAAGCGTTACATATAACAGGGAATCATTTAAATGTTGCGACAAACTTCTACGAAAGTTAGAGCGCATCATCAGGATTATAATTGCATGGGAATGTCACCGTACGAGGCTAGAGACGTTTCTCACTTATGAGCTGTATGCGACCCCCTGTAATATTTAACCTTTTTAAACTTTTGTATACGGAGAAAGTTTTTTAAACTTGTGTATACTGGGAAATGAATCCCACATCATTGCCGAAATGTCATTCCGGTTAATTTAGTTTTTATTAATAATGCAAGCTTATTATTCCTTATTAAAGGAAACAAAATTAAATAGGAATCTATGTTTAACGCAAATGCACAAAGAAATTTCTTTCAAGTAATCAAACTAATCATTCAATTAAAAAGTAATTAGAAGTATGAACAAATCATTCTTTATCCTTTCCTGGCTTATCTTTGTTATAGTTAGCATTGCATATAATTCCTAGACAATGACCGAAGTGGCTTAATCTCATATTTTACCACTCGATTTTCAATATTGCAGATACCAAACTTACTGAGACGGCACGCAGTTTCTGTCTTTAGATTTGAGACCGGACATGATTGTTGTGCCAGTCTTTTGAACAGATTTGGGATGCTCCCTTTTCCAAATTTTATCTTGAGCAAAACTGATTAAATAATGGTCCTTAAATATCTTACAGCATGTCTAGCTGATGTCACCGGAAGTTTCCATGACAACTACTAACTGGCCAGAGAATAGCCACAGGTGTTTCTGTTAAAATTACTTGCAATTATTGCTATGTCTTGATGCTTTAAATTTTCCCATTGCTGTTCCTCGTTAGTTATTAATTATTTGTTGTTTCATGTTAGATTGTTTATTGTACTGTTTGTGCCCCTTTTTTGCGGTGCCTGTGCGTATTATCGCTATAGTGAATGATCTGATATCAAGTGCTGTAACTAAAGACAAAAATAAAAATTTTCTGTATTACATACAATTCTGAATGTTCAACTTTGCTATATTTTCATCATCAGTAGCAAGATAGACCAGGGTCAGCCCAAATTCTCTTTCAACTGCATCCATCGTAATCAGGGTCGTCATCCCTTACTTAGTCTTCGCGGAATCGCCAAATCGAGCATTTTTTGCAGGGTTTAAATCAGAGGTCGCCAAAGTGGTCTATATAGACCCCCAGGGATCCATTTAACAAAAGTGGGGGTCGATCTGAGCCAGGGGGTTGATCCGAATCGGAAGGGTAGATTGGGGGTCGAAGAAAAAACAGTTCTTAATACGTAAATCCCAAATATCTAATTGAGTATGTAAAATTTGTGATTTTTTTTTTGTAATTGACTTAATATCAGTTTCTTTATAGAACATAAATTAATAAACTCATCATCAAAAACGTGGACATCAATCTGCAAGATGAGTTTGCTGAATTATTATCGGATCTTGAAGCAAGGACGATTTTTAAAAATTTAACAATAAGTAAATTTTGAACAAATATAAATATAATGCAAAAATATGTAGAACTTTATGAAATAGCTCATCCTTTTGATGCTAGCTTTTCCAAGTTCCTATATGGTTGAAGCCGGTTTCAGTCACGTAAATTCAATCTAAACTAAGTACAGAAATAAATTAAATATGGAGTTACGAGGGGATTTAAAATTAAAATTGACCAATTTTGAACCCAATATAGCGAACCTTGCAAAAAAAACACCAGGCACACTCATCTCATTGGTTAAGAAGCAATAAATAATTTACTTATTATTTCCTCTTATTTATAATTACTTATTACTTAATAAATATTAAGGTATTTAAATTTCAACATTAATATATTTTTCATAAAACTATTGTTACACAATATACTATTACTTCATTAAATCATAAAATAAATGTACAAACACAGTATCTAATAGAGTTTTATCTTAATTAACGGAAAATTACTTTTATGGGGGTCGATGACGATTTCGAAAAATTATATAGGGGTCGATGATGAAAAAAGTTTGACGACCCATGGTTTAAATAATGCATTTTGAAATCGTGTGTAACCCAGTTTAGTCTATTAAACTTAATAAATTTTGTGACATCAAAGTTCTTAAAGCATCTATAAATTTCTGCATTGCATTGTCTTCTCCAACAGTCATTTTCTTTTATTCCTAAACTAGATCTTTAAATTTTAAAACTGCTCAAAAATACCAAAATAGGACTCATCAGATTTAGTCAATGTCCATGCCTCAGAGACATAGACTAACATAGGTCTAAGAAGAATTTTAGATAACAAAAATTAAGCTTTTCCACAAATTAGCTGCGACTTAAAAATATTTCTTAGCCCATAAAAGGATTTATTAACACATATTATTATGTTTTTTTATTATTATTATTTCATGTGAGATATTATTTAGACAATTTTTGATCCTAAGTATTTAAAGCTATGACCAGATTCAAAAGTGTTCGCGCCACCGAAATATTGGATGCATCCCGACATATAAATTTTGCTGTTTAACATAAATAAATTTTATTCCAAGTCCACTTAAAATAAACAAAACTATCGTCAATGGAAGGAAATGTTTTAAAAGGAATTGCACCTCTTTTTGTGATAAAAACAACAAATAAATGGTCGAGTTAGAAAAGGAGAAAAAAGTATCCGTTTATTTTAAACAATGCTCAATCAAAAAGATCCCTGACGTTTAACACTTTTTATCACAAGGCTATAACATTAACCTTTGTTTCAATCCGTTTCGCTGATATTAAATGGTCAATCCAGTTTTAATATTATACGTTTTTCAAAAACTCTCCATGCATAAATGGAAGAATATTTCATTACACGATTCAGTTCAGTTTTAGACAGAATATAAACTTGGAGTTCAAGTTAAAGAACATTCGGTAAGTAAAAATTAGTTTTATTTATCTTAATAAATAAAGGAAATGAGTTTTTCTTTAAAAAAAATATTTTTAACAACAGAATGTTCAGTTTTCTTAACTATTTGGGGTCTGATTACAACCTGTTTCTTTTTAAAATTAAGAATTTCACGAGCATCTTTATTAGCGGAAAAATGGGTACAAAACTAATAGTGTGTGTGGAAATGAAATTTCTTGAATTTTTAAAATGTTATTTTAAAATGGAGGTTCGAAAATTTGTCAATAGAGTTGCTTATTTGCTATTAAGAATTATTTTTAAGCACAAAATTTTTTCCAGGAGAATTAGTGACTTTAATTTTTAAATATATTTTGATCACAAAAATAATTTTTTTTCTTAAAAATGTCATTTCGCATTTAGCATTCACGCATTTAGCTTTAAATTAGAATTTTAATTATTTAAAGTCTATTTATTAACTTGATCCTTTTTTCTCCTCATTTTTTATCGGGTTACCCACTCCTTAAACCCATAATCTAAGTTGTTCATAAGAATGCATTATAAGGATAGTGGTTGTAGAACACCATCTAATGAAGCATTAAATAGCAAATAAGAGCAGGAAAATAAAAGTACATCTGAAAGTGATCAAATATTCTTTAAAAAAATGTGCACATTCTGCTTTAGTTATTGAAAGTAGTTAAAATTTTAATTGTTTAAACTTTATTTTTTAGTAAGAACTCTTTTTATATCCACATTAAACTTCTGCTATTTCAATATTAAATATTTGATCGGGATAACCCCCTTTTATATTACTCGCAATCTACATTGATTCTAAAAAAATGGATGACAAGAACAGTGTTTATAGAATACCATTAAATAAAGACATAATATAAGAAAATATAAATACTTTAGAGCTATGCACATTCAACTTTTAATGTAGAATTTCAATGAATTGATCAATTTATGATATCTATTTTACTTTTTAGGATTAAAGTATGTTGGATTACTTAATTTTGTTGATTTATGTTGCGTTCCTTTATCAAATAAATGGTAAGAAAGCACTAATCAATATACAGTAAACGTTGATAATTTATCTTTCAAAGGAAAATTTCAAATGTATTTATTTCTCATCGGTATTTATTTTCCTTCTTATTTTATCCTTTTAGCACACGCTGAGAACGATAAAAATCTTTCCCAAGAGTCAAATGAAATGTATGCCTATCGTGTAGAAGAAATTTCCCCAGCAAAGCAAAAAAATATAAAGTAAGAAAAATTTGAAAAAAATTCTTTATTTGTCTTCTTATAAATTGTCAGATGTCTTTAGAAGGAAAAATTTTTTAATGGTAAGATAATTTTAAGATATAATCACAAATATAGCAGTACATAACTCTCCAGTCAGTATATTTTTAATAACATTTTTTTTTTAGTTTTTGAATGTTTAAAAGAGCGAAAAACAAATAATTTTCATTTCATTTATTTTTGTAACCCTATTAAAATAATGTCGCATTTTTACTTATTTTTTATCATGTGTATTAAAATTTGTGAATGTAAAATATAAAATAAATTATGTACAATATGTTTGTGTTCGAAACTATGCAGCCACTTTTTGTTAACTCGTTTTGTTTTTGACTTCGTGACAAGTGCCACTATGTCCTCATTCTAATGGGAATCCCAAATATTTATGTCATAATCTTACTGTTTTCAGCTAACTTTAGGGGTTTGAAGTTACGTAGAACCGTTTATTTCAATCTAGTGATCGAAAGACACGATGGCTCAGAGGATGGAGAACTTCCCTCCGAATGAGGTGAACCAAGTTCGTGTCCCAGTAATGACTGGTCGATACTTATTCTGCTCTCGGCTCGTATCAAACACAGTGCGAACTTAAACTAATTAGTGTAACACTAATTTAAGTTAATTGCATCAAAAAGTCCACCACGAATGCTAGTTTGTTCCAATACTTGATCAAGGAAATCCTTTGTTTTCTGAGTAGGGTTTAAATTACAAGGCATTGCTAGTCATGAACTCACACATGAGTCGGCTGTTTAACACCGGTTATGAAACATAGTGATCCAAATTTAGTCATTTGAGTTAAGAATAAGTTTTAAAAAAGTTAACTAAACCATCAGTGTCTTAACTGTCTTGACCTATGTAATCCAGTAATCGAGCGTCAATGTGATATCGAGCGACGGATGACGTAGTGATTGATTGAAGGTAGACCCTTACGTTAACTGTAAATTATCAAATTGCTAATAATGTAGTTGGAAATGATTTAATCAAATGTAAGTGTTGAAGTGCACTGTCAAAATTTCCGGATCAAATTACGGTTAAAAAAATACAGTAAAATCTATTACGGTAAATAATACCGGTGCTGATACTTCGGTGCGGGAATTTCGATTCCACAGATTTTACGAACACGTATATCACATGTACTGGGTAGACTTATGATTCGATGATAGAACCCTGGCTCCTCCGGACCGGTGCCCGATTCTTTAATCACTGAGCTACAACGGCCCCGAATTAATTTTAAACGCAATTGTTGTCAGAGTTTAAAGTTTAGTCCTAGGTTAGGCTCCCATTTTGAGAGCGGCCCATAATCTTTTTGTCACTTCATTCATGATAAAGATTCTGGAAATGTACAATAATGGCAGTCATTACGGAATACCCAATAAAGGTATTAGCAAACGAAGCAAGTTTTGTGTAAGTTATTCCCAAAACCGATTTTTGAAATGCAGTTTAGAGTGAAAGAAACTTTAAATGTTCATAATGATGTTATACCTTTTTTAAGTTATGTATCACCTGTAATAGTTAAGAAAATTTCTAATGTCGCGTTAAATCCCTATTCCTCGATGTCAATGCATTTCAAAAAAGCAAAAAAAAATGTAAGAATTATTATTTTTAATTAATATTTAACGCAAAATAAAAGTTTTTAGTGTTAATAACTGGTTATGGTTCAAAGTAATTGACTATGTTTTAAATTGTTTTATATGCCTTAGAATTATTAGGTTTTTTTTTATTGTTTTTCAGCAACAAAATGATATCTGAAGATAAACAGGAAGATAGTTATAATTCCCGAACCCTAAAGTTTGTAAGTATTTCAATAATACTTTTTATAACTAATGTAATGTTTATCTATAATGATTTTGGATTGCAAATATAATCGCACATATTTCAGTTAATTTATTTAAAAAGTAAACTAACTACAAGTTAAATTAACAACAATTTATAAACAAGATACAATTAAAATAAACTGCTTTTTTACCTTTTGCGGTCGATACATTTTGTTGATGGTCGATACATTGCCTCTGCGCATGCTGGTGCAAAAGTATTGGAATTCGTCTCCTGTATGCCTCTCGCCTCCCTATCGCTCTCTCTCTGTGCGATTCGTGTGAATTCAGATTGATAGGTATCTATGAGATGATCCAAATATTTAAATCTGACATCGTAAGAGCTTATTTATAATCAAACTAATTGAGTTATACTTACATGAAAGAGAAATGCAAAAAATTAAACACTTTACAACGTTGTGTAAAACAGTAAATATTTGAATGTAAAAATTGTAAGTGATACAATGCGACTCAATGTTGTCTTAAAGAAATGAAACATTTCATTTACAGGAAGGAATGAAAATTTCATAAAAGAATCTTATCAACCTTCATAGCTACTTTTTTTATGAGATTTCTTTTTCATGTATTTATTATTTATTTTACTCTTTCTGTTTTGTCTCATTAAAAAATCAATTTCCATTTCATTCAATGATTTTCATTCATTTCACTACGTAAAAATATTTTTTTCATTTCCTTCTCAATTCCATTTATTCCATTCTATTAATCATCATATAAACAAGAAAAAACTGGCTTTATATTAAAATTATAATTAAAAGCAATGACTGTAAGTACTAATAAATGGAGGTTAACCATTAAACTTATAAAATTTAATAAATGGTATTTCAAAGCATGATGTTTCTTTTTCTGGGATATTATTTATGATTTGTCTTTCGTTTATTTTAAAGTTTTGTTTCTTTCTTTTCAGTTTCCAATCGTAGTTGTGAGAAATAGCGAAGATACCACTGCTGCACCAAATAACACGATGGACGCTTTGACACGATTGGCAAACCTCAAAAGAAACGCCATTTTCGGCTATTTGCGAATTTTCGGAATCAATCGTACTTAATGAGAGAGTTTCATTGAAAAAAAAAATGCTTAGTATAAATATTCTTGTAAATAAATCATAATTAAAGTCATATGTTTTTCAATCGTCTGTGATGAATATTTTCTCGTGCATTGTTATGTATATACTTTTTAAATTAAGTAAATCTTGGTTGGTTGGTGGTTGGTTCTAATGCCACTTGCCACACGGGCAAGCCCGCTTGGTGAAACTGAGCAGCAAATTTAAGACAGAGTGTGCGATTCTTGTTTTTCAGTGGCGCCGTCTATGGCCAAGAATTCGACTTCGCCACATCATACGTCACACCTGTTTATAAGGTGGGCCCAGTCATACATCCATTCATTCATCCACAGATCGTAATTTTGACCTGAATCAGAGAACGATCGATCTCCAATCCAATACCCCCAGAGGTATTGATTTGTTAACATGGAGGGCTTTTGCGATTCGACAGATTTAACGTGCATCAGTCACTTTACTACACAGGTAGTCTTCGGCCGGTGGTGCTCGAACCCACGAACTCTCGGACATGGGCCCTGCGCCCTACCGACCAGGCTTACGTTTAAATAATATAATTTTTAATACGTTTGAAATAAAATAGTTCTTCATTAAGAATACAGAGTGTTTGGTAATTACTTTTTAATATGTATTTTAGAATCCTAGTAAAGAAAGAATTTGCATTCAAGAACACATGAGGGGTTAAAAATTATTACAAAAAAATAAACGTTATCGAAATCGGCCGAATCACTAGTGATGCGCACGAAGGTGGGACATGTCTGGATGAGTTTTGGTATCGTTTCACGTTTCCAATAACGATCTTTTAACTTTACTGTGCCCTGCTGCAATCAATCAAAATTCATGCATTTTCAGAACCGCTTTCTTCAGTAGTGATATTTTTCGATTTAGATCGCATTTTTGTTTTTTCCCCACTTAAATTTTAACTTGCGATTCGTAATTGTGTATAATTGTTTTTTCATTTTTTGAAAGATTTCTAAAAATATAGATTACGAGGGGTCATTATAAAGCCCCTTGGATCTGTAAAATTTTTGCAAAATTAGCATCGAATTTTTTTTATTAAAATTATTATTGGTGTCGAAGTACATCAGAGAGGCCAACTGTTCCGGACACGCTAAAATATTTTTTAAAAAAAACGGTAAATAACTGCTAACTAAATTTTGCGAATATTTGACTATTTTTTCTCTCTTTCTTAAGAGGTATAGCAATAATAAAATGGTGAATTAGATAAACCTACGAATTGTTTAGAAATAGTGGTGGATAAAAATCTACTAAATTAAATTTATTAAACCAAGAATCACAATTGATAAACTACCACTTTTAAATATTTATATGCTGTCCTGAGCAAGTTGGCATCTCTGATATACGCCCGAACATTAAATATCCTACACTGTAACAAATGTTTGATCATCTGAAGATCAAAAATGTTGGCAACTACTTAACATCAAAGTGGTGCTTGGCTAACTAGGGAAGTGTGACTCGCCAATTTTGAAATAAACTAGTGGGATGTATGCCTTATGAGGAATAATTTAAAGGGGGCAACATTCGTTTCGGCCCATAGAAGATCCTATGAGAGATAAAAACTATTCAATATATAGAAAAATCGGTATTTGATTACTTCAATGCGGACTATTAGTTATTGTAATTATCTCATACTCCAATTAATTTTGTGGTACTTTCACGTACTATATAATGCATATTTATTGTCAAAACTGATTTCGAAAATTATATATATCTGTAGTTTTTCAGAAAAACCTGTTGGGTTAATTAAAAAAAAATGGCATCAAATTTTTTTTCAAAAAATTTTTCAAAATAAAAACAAGTGAAAAATAATAAATTTCATTTATATCCGAGTCGAAATATAAGAAAACATTTCAGAAAAAATCAAAGTCTTAAGAAAAGTGTATTTTCCAGAAATCAATGCTTAATATATATACAAGATTTACCTTTTTAAACAGTATTTTGGCAATACTTGAAAAATACGTTTTGTTCCCTAGGTTATAATGAGACTGAAGTTATTATATAATTTTTTTTGAAGGTTTCTTCGTTTATGAAATAAGTGTATTAAAGACAAAATTTTTCTTGGAATGAATAAATATACCATCTTCAGAGTTTCAATAAAAAAATTAGCAATTTTTGCTATATAATAAATTTATTTAAAGAACGTGACTCTAAACATGTTATAAATAAATCAATAACAATTTCTGATTTTCAAAGAAGTTTTAAATTGCAACTATAAGTGTATTATTAATACACTTATAGTTATCATAAAGATAGTTAGACTTATCATAAAGATATTCTTATATATGTCATATAATTCAAAATTTAAATATTTTGCAACTAATTCATTCTCCCTCTGATTAAAGATAAATAATAACGTAAATCTCTAAAATAACAAGAAAAGACATTATATAATTTATAAAAGATAACGTACTTCCAATCCATTCTCCAATCTTGACGCATAGGTTAGAGCTGCGCCGCCATATGGAATAGCGCGAACCAAAAACGTGTAGTCTCTAATTATATGGCAGCGCTACTTTAACCTATGTTTCAAGATAGGAGGATGCCAATTTTTAAAGTTAAATATTTCAAAAATTAGCTAGGATATCAGATATAAATATAAATGTATGAATAATATTATAAAAATAGCAATGTTTTGGCAAAATATTGAACAATTCGCAGGACATAAGACATCAACGGATTTTCCCCCTTAAAGTGACAAATCACCTCAAATTTTGTGTATACAGTACAGTTGATCTTTTATGAAAAAAATCGAATTGAAATATTAAACATTTTTTAAGTTCAAATTTCCCGCCGAAAAAATTGTAAAATATTTTTAAAAATGCATTTTAATTTTATGCAATCACATGAATTATTTCAGATTTTTTTACAAGATCTAACAATATGAAATTTTTTTTTTCATCTATCACATTTTTGGATGTTACATAAGCTATACTCACAAAAAATTCCATCAGTTTGGGAAAATGCGTATTTTATTTCGACTTATATTTCGACTCTGATATAAATAAAATTTATTACTGTTCACTTGTTTTTATATCGGAAATTAAAAATTAATTATGCCAATTTTTTTTCTTTTTAAATTAACCTAATAGGTTTTTCTGAAAAACCACAGATATATTAAATTTTCGAAATCAATTTTGACAGTAAATATGCATTATATAGTACGTGAAAGTACCACAAAATTAATTGGAGTATTGAGATAATTATAATAACTAATAGTCTGCATTGAAGTAATAAAATACCGATTTTTCTATATATTGAATTATTTTTTGTCTCTCATAGGACCCTCTATGGGCCGAAACGAATGTTGCCCCCTAAAATTATTCCTCGTAAGGCATACATCTCACTAGTTTATTTCAAAATTGGCGATTCACACTTCCGTAGTTTCCCTTGTAAGTGTTTCACTATACTTAAATACAAAGACAGTTCCTTTTGCTCTGAAACGCCTAGAATGTTATTTTAAACTACTTACTACAAAGTAACCGCCGTAAAGTTATTGCTTTGCACAAAGTCATCCCGGGGTGACTTTTTGCATTCAACTAATTGATTGTTTACAAATAATAAACATTTCAAACCAGGTCTTAACTACATGCAATTGCTTCCCAGATGGCTAACAACAAATTTTAGATCAGATGCTGTACAATTCAAAATCTTTTATCTATTTTTTTATTAGGTCAAAGTTGGAAAACTGAAAATTCAAGCACAAAGTCACCCCATCTGACTTTATATAATTAAGATTTTACATAGAATCTTTTAGTGCGACTAATAATTTGGCCGGGGACTGTGTATATATATATATCTTCCTAGTAACTGTTTTTTGGGAAAAGTGATGAAAAATAAATCACGCAAAATTGCTGGTTTTTCTTCGGGTATTACGAATATAAAAAAGTAAAGTTGTGACAATTAAATTAATTATTGAAGTTGTGGCTATTAATATATAGCGGATATTGTTTCATTAACATTAAGCAACTAACACTAAAAACTGTAGTTACATATTTGTTATAAGCCAATTTATCGTTTGACAGTGATTGTGCAGTGCACATGATTTGCCTTTTGACAGAGAATATGATTTTATTTGCATTCGTTTTTGATCACAAAAATATGTACAACTATCATGTAGTATCCTTTTCAACAACACTCTCCAGTAAATCAAGGAGAGCTGAAATCTGTGGATTCAACTCATCTTGGAAAGAGTGACTAGTCTTTTGCTCCAGAATTAGTGACTTTAATTCTGTGACTGTATTTAGGGATAGAGGTGACGACCACATTACGATTTCCTTCACGTGATTCCAGTCAGCATCAGTTAGTGATTGCTTAAATATTAGATTCTTCTTAATTCCTTTCTCAGATAGTATAAGTTCATTTTTGTATAGCTTCACTTCATTGATATTATCAAAAGATGCATTCAAAAGTATGGTGGCACTTTCAAGAATGCCTTCACTCAGTGCATACTCTATACAACTACGACAAATAAGTCGAAATTCTGCAACATTTTCAAGAGAAGACAAGTTGTAGTTTATAAATTTTTGTAACACATCGCCTACAATGAACGGCATGTCTATGAATCGCTTGAAATAATAATTACCCCATTTTAGCAAAACGTCTACTTTAAATTGTTGAATTTCCTCTCCCGTCTGGAAATACCAATTCAAGAACTGGTCCACACGCTCATGGTTGGGCAAAAATATCAATGTTAAATAGATTACATCCGGAGACGATATAGCTTTCTTAAATGTTTCAATTCCCACAGATTGATAAATCCATCTCAAGAAGGACTCAGCTGCGTGGATGTTACCATCGCATATCCAATCAATACAAATATGCCAATCATTAAATCCACTAAGCCACGATATTATCAGTCGATCTTTCTCTCTTTGCTCCATAAGATTGATTTTATAGGGATAACATTCTGGTGGCAATGTAGATTTTGATAATAACACGTGAAGCGAATTGAGATTGCTTGAATAAATAGCACGCTTAAATTCTATCCGACCAAGGATAAAGCAGATAAATAGTTTAATCTCTTCTTTGGAACCATGGTTTAATATCCTATCAGCCATGCTTATATTTTCTAACTGCACCAAACGCAACAACACTTCGCAAAAACATTTATTTTTCAGAAAGGATCGTCTTAGTCTTAAGGGACTGGCACTCCATATTTCTTCAAAAATCATCATTTCATTTCCCCGGAATCTCATCTTAGAACTAATACTCTCCATTATACATGCATAAATGTCATCTCGCAGATTATCTAACAGTTCAAAAATAGTG